CTTGCTCGGGCACAACAGCATCTTCAGTCATCAAAGCACTTACATCAATCTTCACCATCTTTGGTATTCTTCTTTGGTATCTTTGGTATGCCTGGTTTTGTCCACTACGACCAAGGTTCTGCTTTCATGTCAAAAGAACTGAGTGATTTCTTACACTCTAAAGAAATTTCCACTAGCCGATCTTCACCTTAGAACCCTCGAGGTAATTCTCAAGCTGAGCGATATACTGGAACGATTTGGAAGACTGTATCTCTTGTTCTGAGAAACAAGGGACTGAAGACAGAACAGTGGGAGTATGTTTTGCCAGAAGCTTTGCATTGTATACGCTCGTTACTAACAGCTACGAATGAGACCCCTACATGAACGTCTTTTCAAACACCAGAGACGTGTTGTCATGAATAATATTTTTGAAAATTATTATTCATGAAACATTAAGAGGTTCATTGACCATAATGAGAAATCATCTATATGGCAAAAATCAAAATTAATCAGTCTTATAGCTGTAAAATCCTTCAATGTTTTATGTGTACAATTTTTTCTGTGTCATTGGCAACCTTATTTTTAAGGCAGATGTATTTATTTTTATAAATAAATTCTTTTCTCTAAATCATCCGTTTCCATAACCAGCCGCTATCGTAGTACGACAGGTAACCACGAGTTACACAAGAGCCTACAGGTAAGAGATCGCCCAACTACTAAAAGAAGCAAGAGTAGTAGGTCCTAAATATCAATAACCACAAGTTTATCTTTGTCTACAATTTGGAAAGTTTTTTTTATGAGAAAAACTAGCATGAACAAGAGCTTTGATTCTTGGAATATTAGTTGAAAATATAAACCCAAAGTTACAAATTCATGAAATTTATCAAATTAGTCTATATACCAATTAATTATCCTTCTATATTTAATGATAATGATAATGATGGATGGGTGTTTGTGACAAGTAAAACGCGGAAAATACTAAACAGACAGTGTTCAAAATTACATATGAGTATTCATATTTAAAAGGAACTTGTGTAGGCTACCTGTTGCTTGAATTCGAGCAATTCCAAAGGACTGGTATTACAGGCGTTATTTTAAAAAAGAATAGCAGTCATAATTTCCGATGATGACCTTAAACGGGGAGACTCAAAGGTTTTAAATAGAAAACTCACAATGTACATAACAGTTTGATATAATCAACATTTCTTGTAAATATCTTAACATATTTCAAAAGCAGATAGGCAATTGTTTTTTTAAATGTTTCCCACTCATAGCCGCCATTAGGTTGTTCATGATAACGATAAATTCAAAAAAATTACCCTATTTCTATTTCTTCTACTTGGTGTTGTTCTAGATGACTTTCCAATGTTTCCATAGTTAGCAAATTGGATCTTTCAATGATTGCTCAAAGAAATGCAGCACACTGTTAATTCAGTTTCCTTTTTAGTAGCATATAACAAATTGTCCAGGCTTTCTCGCTTTTTTATTTTTCCTAAAAATAACCTAGTAGGCTAACTGGGGCAGAGCCCAAGGGACTTTTTCAAAAATTTAAGGCCAGTTTGCACATCTTCACACCTAGACAAACATTTTGGTATTCAGGCCTAATATGTGGGGTTAAATAAAAAAAACCTTATTGTTCAGAGAGTTTCATGTAGCGTACCGTATATTGATAATATAGATTAAAGAATTTTGTCAGCTGTTTCAACTGGACAAGTTGATTCTCTGATATTAAATGGCATTAAAAAGTGATAAGGTTTACCTACAGGGTGCAGAACTGTTATTCCTTTGCATTTATGACAACAGCTAATTTGAACCAACTAGCAACAAAAAGCTGTGGTACAAAATGAGAACTTTACTTTTTTCTACTTTAAGATGTGCTTGCTTAGCAGCATGAAACCACCTTAGTTATTTCATAACTTAAGGATCAATCAACGCAACAGGTAAATTAAACCTTTTATATTAGCGTTATCTTGATTCAGGGGCTAACCCATCATGAAATTTTACTTTACCTACTTTAAGTTACTTTTTTTTAGGTGCAGTGGTAGAACATTATGGCTATGGTAGATGTGCATCTATAGCATACCAAATGGATTAAAAGAATCAAATTTTCTTAAACCGTGTCCTTTCCCATAACTGCAATTAAGCATTTTATACTTATAAGCCGGTAAAAGGTCGGGTTCTCTACTAGAGAGAGAGAGAGAGAGAGAGAGAGAGAGAGAGAGAGAGAGAGAGAGAGAGAGAGAGAATTCTTTATTTATACACATTATTTTGCAGCAATACATTCAAAAATAAAAATATCACATGGGTCACAATGACCTTTGCGTGATAGAGTCCTTACTGGCTGCTTCATCAAAATAAAAGTTCTTCACACTTCACTACACATAAAAAAAAATCTAACAATAACTTGGTAAAATAAGCATACAATCACCAATAAGCATACAATTGGTACTAGTATAATAATAAAGCGGCCTAATCGACAACAACGCACACCTTGGTAGGTCTTTTAAGCTAAATGAACTCAAGTTGAATGTAGAATGGGATGAGATAATCTGTGTGGATTTGTTACTCAGCTGTTTCTTTGGACAGGACCATTTAAAGACCAATGATAAAGGACAACTGGGTCTAGTTTCAAACCATAAAGAAGCTATGTCTTCTCCTATGAAAGACACATGTGGACTTTTTAATTGTTAGGTGAGCAGCATCAGTAGCTTAACACATCTATTCAGCCAGTTTAAAAAATTAGGCTTAGAATGCAAACAGTTGAAAATCACTTAGGAAATGCAGGCAGTGCCGCACCTAAATATTGCTGTAAAACTCCATAACGCAAAAACTTCGGAATCAGAGGAGATAGGTTGGTGAAAAGGTTTATTCTTGGTTGGGCAGTTATTAGAGTTAAACCTAAATCAATACAATCAAAAACCAAGACATAACTGAATACAGTAGAACCTCTTTAATCCGAACTATTTGGGACCGGGGGTAGTTCGTACTATTGAATAGTTCAGATAACAGATCATATTGTTGTTTTTACATAACAATAGCTAAAATGTCCGGCTAAAATGGATTTTAATTGTTACGGGAAAAGTGAAAAATGCTTTATAAAGTATAATACAGTGTTTATTTGTTAGGCCTACAGTATAAATTTATGTAGGCCTAACAAATAAACACTGTATTTTACTTTATAAAGCATTTTTCACTTAATAATAAATAAGTGAATAAACAGTTACGGGTAACTGTTTATTCACTATGTTTACTACTGTAGGCCTAACAAATAAACACTGTATTTTACTTTATAAAGCATTTTTCACTTTTCCCGTAACAATTAAAATCCATTTTAGCCGGACATTTTAGCTATTGTTAAGTAAACTGTTTACTTTAAATACAGTAGGCCTATAGGCTTACAATAGAGAACTACTGTACCGTGTATAGGCCTAGAGTACATTAATGAGGCGTTTGGATTACGGGGGTTCGGATTACAAAGAGGTTCTACTGTAATACCATTACTTAATCAAGCTGTGACTTTGACATTGGTTGCACGATTGCCCTACTAAGTTAAGCAGTGTTTAACAGCAGCTGATGAACTACTTAGCTGCTAGGGTATATGGAAATGGACAATACTGAATTTTGTTCAACAAACTGCAAACTAACGTTCCTGATTAATGAGGGGCTAACTAGGCTGCACTTTACTTTAGGTCCTACACTCATTCGAAGGAAAGTATCGATTATTCAATTGTTTCATTTGGTAAGTATATCAGTCGGTTAGTTAGGTTAGATTAACCTTACCTAACTAACCAAACGATATATCGAATGAAACAATCGATTAATCAATATATCGATCGATATTTTCAATCGAATGAGCGTAGGGCCTAACGTAAAGTGCAGCCACTAACTAGGTTATGTCAATTAATTATGAGTGGTTAGGTAATTCAATCAATCGAAACCTTAAATGGTTTAACTTGGGTACTAGACCTACACCTAGCCTAACTATGATGGACTTTCATGATGAGGGTCTAGGCCTAGGTTGTGTGAGAGTAAGGAAGGGTAAGCATATAAATCTTTAAAGTGCAATACCTTGAATCTTTCTGATCTGATTCTAAGCCACCAAGAGATTTGTCAACAACAGGGGAAGAAGATACTGGTTGCTGTTCTTCTGGATTTGGGTTTGGAATTTCTTCATCTGGTTTTTTCCCCCCACTGCCCATCCAACTACTCACTTGATTTGATAACCCCGAAAACATAATGAAAATCTGAAATTTAATTAACAGTAAACACTAAACTAATAACACTCAATGAATCATCCTCATGACACAAACGTCAAATGACCGTCAGCTGTTTGCGCACTTGGTCCACTCCGCACAACCACAACACGAACTAAGTTCCAATCCACCAACAACTGCCTTTTGTATTGAGTTTGAAGAAGAGTATTGACTTTGACTATTCGACTACACAGTGTGACAGTGAGAAAGTTGGCTGTCATTCGGTTCATCGTTTTATCGATAGTTGTAAAATGTTTGTATCGCGACACACGCAATATCGCTACAACAATATTCCAATCGATTCGATAGTTAAGTCTCAGCATATATTTTATAGATAGATTTGTTTGCTGTGTGATTTTTGCATTTTAGTTTTAATTTTTATGAAAATTTGTATATTGTTATTTGTTCTGACGATGCCTATTGCATTTCATGCCTAATGGAAAATAAAGCATTTCGTTTCATTTCATTTCATTTTACTTTGTTTCGTTTTCGTACAGTATCAGTTCGAATATCAACGTGTTTGGTTTATGATTTTATGACAACTGACCATCGATGTATATAACCTAACTGGATCGCGCCCTGCCACGAGAGCACAGCGCTGAAAACGAGCCGGCGCAGAGTAGGCTCCCCCCACCACTGGTGGGCAACCACGCGGCGCCGGCGACTGTCTCGTGCGTTGACTGCACTGTTTACATCCCATGTAATCACTGTCGTACTCGTGATGTTAGTGGTGGTATTTTTTGTTATGTCTAATGAAAGTTCTACATCATGCCACAGAGGTGTGTCGCATTCAACTGCAACAAAAGTGCCAAAAAGGGATCGGGAATATCCTTTTACAAGTAAGTACTGTTCTCTTGTATAGTTTATACTATTTATAGTTTCGTGGCATTAGCATAGGTCATTAGAATGCTGTGTTGAAAAATATTTAAGATTAAGTACACAGTAAAAACCTGTATTTAATTTTGTCAAATAGATTAAATATTTTATTTCCACAAAATAAGCATATCTTGTTAAGTCTCTGATTGAATACGTTTTTTTAGCTTTCCGAAAGATCCTGAGCTGCGAAGTAAATGGATATCTGCAACAAAAAGGAAAAACTTCAACCCTTCCAAGCATGCCCGTATATGCAGTTTACATTTTACCCAGGACCAATTTCAAATCCGACCAAACAGCAATTTTGAATTGTTAAAACCTGACGCTGTGCCATCAGTATTCGACTTCCCTCCTCATCTAGCTTCAGCACCACCAAAGAAAAGAAGGATTATAATTAAAAAACAGGTAATTATAACATCATGACATTCATGAACTGTGATACTTTTTAGGTGAAATCGTAGATATACAAAATGTTTGTAGCCTAATTTATTTCCTTACATAGAAATGTAAAATATCCAAAATACAATCATTGTTCATAAAGTGGTGATGATAACAAAGTACAAAAGAACACGTAAATTAAGTAGGGATTGCCCTGTAATGGATTTTACGATGAAAGTTTACTATCGATAAATCTACGATAGCCACACATTTTATTGGAGGTCATGCTGTTTGAAAATTAATAAGAAACATTTCACTAGGACGAAATGAAAATAACACATGTTTTACTACTAGGACAATCAAAATAAAGATTAAAATGAGTGTAAGTGCTATTATAAGCTATAAATAGTTTGTTGTTATAGATTAGGTTTTGCCAGTTTCACTGTGACCATTATGTGTTTATGTTGATAAACATTATAATGTTTACCTATTACCACATGATTAATATAGGCTATTTACAGGACATCTGTGTATCTGATGACATCTGTGTATCTGATGATATCCAGACACCAACTGCTTTGTTGCCGAAACATGACGATTCCTCTCCTAGTACATCAATTATCATTCCATCATGTGAAAAACCAGATGAAATCCAGTGCATTAGTATTACGAACAAACAGGTAAGGGGTTTTTTTTAGAAAGTAGGGTAGAATATACAAAGATTCAACACTTAGTTAATATAAAGTCGATAACTTTGTTTAGTCATACGTCTTTTGTATTAAAATTTACGTCTATACGAATCTTCATCAATGAACATATTAACCATAGAAACAACATGGAAGCTCTTAGCACGTTATCTGATTATCTTAATGCCTAATACTTTAATTTAACTCTTAATTTTAATATTTTTAGACGCCACAAACACCAACCAAAAATTTACTTCGACGGAAAATCAAGATTCTACAACAACGGTTAAAGAGGAGAGAAAAGAAGATAAAAACAATGAAAGATGTGATTATTTTATTAAAGAAAAAAATTAATGCTCCAGATAGACTGTTAGAACTATTAGAAGATAAGTTTTCTGGGTTTCCTCTTGACTTAATTGTACATAGTATTAAGAATAAGAATGCTAGGAACTGCAGAAATTTTTCAGATAAAATGAAAGAATTTGCTTTGACCATGTATTTTTATTCACCAAAGGCATATTCATTTCTCAGAAAAAATAACTTTCTATTGCCTCACCCTGCAACACTGAGGAAATGGATTGCAAGTTTCAACTGCCTGCCTGGTTTTTTGGAGGAGGTATTGAATTATTTAAAAGCAAACTTGGAATCAAAGCCTTTTTTAAAGAATGTAAATCTTACATTTGATGCCATGAGCATCAGGAAGCAAGTAATTTTTGACCATAATTTAGGGAAGAATTTCGGTTATGTTAACCTTGGCAATGAAGTAAATGTTGGTGAATCCGAAACCTTAGCTTCTGAAGCTTTAGTTTTTCAAGTCGTTTCACTAACAGGTAATTTTAAATGTGCAGTAGGCTATTTTCTCAGTGATAAAATAGGTTCCGATATTTTGTCTAAGTTAGTTAACATGTGTGTATCGAAGTTGCTAGAAATTGGAGTTATCGTCCATAATGTAACATTCGATGGTGCCAGTTCCAATATAACAGCTGTGAAAAAGTTGGGATGCCAATTGCCTGAGAAACCTTATTTCTTTGTTAAGTGTAATGGCGTATCTCATAAGATTTGTGTCATGTTAGATGCATGTCACATGCTGAAATTAGCCAGAAATACTTTGGCGGACAAAGGTACCATTCAGACAGATGATGGAAATGTTAGTTTTAAGTATATACAAAATCTTAATTCTTTGCAAAATGATGAAGGATTATCATTGGCTAACAAGTTGTCTGACAAGCATATATGCTATAAAAACAGAAAAATGAATGTAAAAATTGCAGCTCAAACGTTGAGCTCTGGCGTTGCTGATGCTTTACAATTTTTGTTAATGAAGGAACATCCCAATTTTGTAGGTTGTAAACCAACCATAGATTTCATTAGAATAATTGACCAGTTATTTGACATTTTCAATAGTAGAGACCCGTTTGGGAAAAATTTCAAATCCCCCATAAAGAAAGAAAACCTTATGTACATTAAGATGATCTTAGACAAAAGTTTAAACTATTTAAAAAGTTTAAAAATTGAAAACGTCCCCATCTTAGAACACCCTAGAAAGACATTTGCTCTCGGTTTCATTACTAACATCAACACAATTGGCATTTTAATTGATAAACTACTAATTGATCTCAAATTGAATTACATACTAACTTATAAATTTTCTCAGGACCACCTGGAGTTGTTATTTTCATGTATACGAGCTAGAGGAGGAAATAATAACAACCCAAATGTAAAGCAATTTCAGTGGGCCTTGAGAAAACTTATGTTCCGTAACAGTATCCAGCCTTCTGCAAAGGGGAATTGTTTGGTTTTTGACGAACACCATCAAAATTCGGTCATGAGCTTTGGAGAAGCAGCGCGGTTGCATAGTAATGAAACCGAGGACAACGACGACGACTTTGAACTTTTGATTAATCTTTACGAGGATACTAATAGCACATTTAAGGACAATGCATTGTACTATATATGTGGTTTTGTGACAAGGAAAATCATAAATAAAATAGAATGTGAGGAATGTATAAATCTATTGATTGATGACGAACACAACTTAAGCCCATATACACATTTTACAGATCATGTAAACAGGGGTAAACTAGTCAGAGCCTCGTCAGATGTGTTTAAGATTATAAAGTTTTTGTTTAATCAATTCAGAAGTTTTGCTTCAACCAACTGGGCTAAAATGAATGCCTATAATATATGTGCTTTGGCATCAAGGATGTTTGCTGGCAATGTATTCCGAGGCCACAAATCAAACGGAGATCTTGGTGAAGACAATCATGATCTAATGCTCATTAAAATGATAAGCATGTTGTTTTCTAAAGTATATTGTCATAAAGTGTCAAAAGAAAAAACCTTAAAAAGTAAATGTTTCAAACCTCGGCGTTCGGCAGAAACTAAATAAACTTATTTTGTTTAGCCACGTCTAGCAAAATATTGAAAATCTTTCAAATGTATGATTGTTGTCTAGCAAATGATTTCTATTTGTAAAAGTTGTTTTTTTGGTTAGATTAATTAAAGTTATATCAGAACTACAAAAGTTAAGTTTTATTTCCTTTGATTATTCTACACTTGGGAGTTCAATACCGGTAGGCCTACTGAAGTTTTTCTCACTACTGTGAGAGTGAACAATTAATGTTATATAATATAATTTAACGTCAACTGATGTACTATATAACCCAACTGACTGAATAAAATAATCCATATCGATGCATATACATAACATCAAAACTGTGTTATAAATCCAAGACTACCAACAAGAAAGTTCAATTTTAAATATGTGTTCCGGGTCCCTATATTATAGTTTAGATAATGTACCTATGAGAAAAAATTACATACAATACCATAAACGAAAAGAGAAATTCATTTAAACATTTTGGTGACAATAAGGAAGTAAAAAAGTGCGATGTGTCGGCGGTCACAATGCTACTTCAATGCTAGGTGAGCGCTTTTTCACATCCAACAGAAGGAGCTACGTCATCGATATGACGTCACTGATTCAGTGGGAGTTATCGAATCCGACATTCGATTGTTTAAACCAGCGACAGCGATCGATCATCCGATATGTCAGAGAAAGTGATCAATGCATGCAATGGCTACCAGGCTACCCTTACACTAACCTAACTAATCTATAACCATAACGCACAACCACTCAAGATCATTGCTTAAGTTAATGCTTGTTTCCTGTAATATAAATATCCCTTGTACTAAATGCAGATAAAATTAAACTTGTTTGTCGTTAATATTACTTAATTATTTATAATACAGATCTACCATCATATTTGATTGTATCTTACCAAACTTATCGTCGGATGTTTTATGATTTGGGTTTCATAATATTGGGCCTACAGTCATTATGGAAAAATAAGTAACTTAAATTACTCGATTTTTATTTTTGATGTTGGTGAGAATATCACATTGATAGAGTTAAGTCAAGATTTGTTATGTAGGTTGTGTAGGCCTAGGTCTTCCCACTTCCCAACTCTTATTAGGAACGGAATCATAATAATTATAGACAATCTCCTTCTATGGCATAACCTTGTGCTGCCTGCACTTGTATGTCTATAATGGCCTCGCCCTATAGGCGTAATGACTTATGAGGTACCTTCATAAGGAGCCAAAAAATGTTTGTTTTGAATTAATAACTACCTAACTCATTAGCTAAGAACAACTTTTGACTACTCATGAATGGATTAAATTTAAGTAATGAAAATTTAATGCATCAGTCCAGGGGTGTCTGAGTTTATCACTGGCAAATATATATCTATATATAAACCAACATCCTCTTTTACGCTTATTGATTTAATAACTATGCGTCCCCATCTTAAATAATTGATAATTGATTGATCTACAAGTTGTAGCGTAGCCTAATATTGTCTATGGTGGAACACCTGTCTCGTTACACTTCAATATTAGGCCCTCCTAGTAGCAAACAGCATAAGTCTTAGCCTAAATATCGGCTGCACTTTACTTTAGCTCCTACACTCATTCGAATGAAAATATCGATTATTCGATTGTTTCATTCGATAGACCGTTTGAACCTTACCTAACTAACCAAACGATATAACTTAGCGAACAATCAATATATCGATCAATATTTTCATTCGAACGAGTGTAGGACCTAAAGTAAAGTGCAGCCTAAATATCATGGGTAAGTGGTCATTTGAAGCTGATTTAAACACACAATATACCAAAATTCCAGCTTTTATTTTGATTGTCATCACACATTTATTATAAAAAATGTAATCACAGTTAATTTTCAAAACAAATATTAACAGGTCAACATGTCTCAGTAGAAGTGGACAAAGTAACTGGTTACATATTCTACTGACACAAAATGTTTCATAGTAATAAGTTGTCATACAAAACTCATGTAACCGTAATGTTAATAAGGGGTAGACTTCCATATCTGTTGACACAAACAACCGAATTAAAATATCGATCAATATATGCCTATCGATTATTTGATATATCGTTTGGTTAGTTAGGTAAGGTTAACCTAACCTAACTAACAAAACGATAAATGGAATGAAACAATCAAATAATCAATATTTTCATTCGGTTGTTTGTGCCAACAGATACGGAAGTCTACCCTTAATAAGCACACACCAGTAGACATAATACTTAGTTACACATTGTCAATATTATAAATGGGCCTATTTACAAACATTAACAGTAAAGAGTACTAAATAGCTTTAGCCAATAACCTATACCATCTGTTGCACTATTATAATGTGTCAGTTCTCAAACTTGTTGGCCTGGCGACCTAACGACCACCTTAGCATTTATTTTGAGACCCACCTACAATATGATATTAGTAGGCTATAATTATTTACTATCATAAATTTATTAACATGATCATGTAGGTACACTGAGAAGATGATGTTTTATGTACATAATCTAGACTAAAACACTATTTGAGAAACAACACTATAATTTGAAAATCATAACATACTTAGAACTACTAGGCCTACTATATATAAGAGACTTGTAGAGTAATATGTAAAACTGTTAACTGACTTATGTGTTGAGCGTTTTCCACATCATAGGCATTTATTTTTCACTCCAGTACAATTATGTATCCTACTTCGCTTCTAGCTAAAAAAATATATCCTATTGGTATCTAGTATTTAAAAAAGATAATAATTATTGAAGAATCTGTAATATTAGTGAATACTTTCTTCGGAACTCATTGGAAAAAATCTTGGAATTGTAATGTCGGAAACCTCTTTTAAATCAAACACTGTCATAAGTGTTAGATAAGAAGTTAATTGTCCACCATTTAACAAAACTTTCCTGTTGATCTTAATACAAAACACTAGTTTTAACAAGATGTAAATTTAGTTTATTATGCATTTATCTCAAATCCACAATAACTTATGTTCCAAAATCGCGGCACTGATGTGATCATCTCCGACAATCTCGGTGACATCAGAATCATGTCCTGTGTTAGCGGTATCATCATGATTATATCTTCATGTCATCTTTAGATTCATCCAAAAGACAAATAGGCTAGGTTAGCCCTTTTGCCTAGTTGACTATATTTGTAATATTTGGTCAGAAAATATTTTATGTTATCGCAAATTAGAGCGTTATTCACGCCTGAAAAATCCCAAAACTAGTATTGATTTCCACACATTAAAATATTGAATACAAATTACCCAAACAATTACCTTAGTAAATTTAGATTCCTAGTATGAAGCTAACAAAATACATAGGCTACTTATAACACGTAAATCAGGTTAAATTGTGAATATACTAAAAATATTGTAATGTACAGCTCTACCCCTTGCTATCAGTTGGTTACAATACTGGTGCTTACCAGATCGTCTCGGTATTGAAAAATTACGGGTCCTGATACAAAAATATTATCAGCAACTCACCAAAATTGCTCCAGTACCCATAGTTTGAGAACCAAGCCCTTTCACTAGGCCTATCAGAAATAATAAAATCCTAATCACAAAACAATAACCAAAATATTAGAGGTTTTGGATGTACAAGATAACAAAATTAAAACATTGCTTAGTGGAAAAAGAGGTTAGACTAACCAAGTGAAATTAGTGATTTTTTGGCCCTATTTCATGAGACCCTATCAACAAAACTTTCAGCTAGTTTTCAGTTACTCTTCTCTTTTTAAGTGCTTCAACTTTGGAATTTATTTTTACTACAAATTTCCTTTTTAAATTCCTTTCTTCAGGCTGGTTGGCACAATTGATTGCAATATTTCTTGCAGCTTTCAAAGTATCTGCAAAAACCCCAACTCGTCCGATATGACTCTTTTTTTGGTGACGGGAAATATTTTTGTAGATTGTCTTCTTAGTTTTGCGACAAGTTTGTTTTGCTGAACAAGGCTCTATGGGTATGTTACTTTTTTTGTCAGTAGACACTTTTCCTTTAGTTTCTCTTATGAGATCCCGCATCTTCTTGTTAACAGAGAGTATCGTCTCTTCGTCGACATACCAAAGAAGTGACTGAAGTGTTCGGTTTGCAGAGCCAAAGTTGTTTATTAACTGACGCCTTCTGCTTCCTCTTAATGTTAGTTCCTTGTATTCCAGGTTTTTGTCTTGTAGAGAAGATCTTGGAGCAATGTTTTCATCATCTTCTCCTCCAACCAAAGGACTACCCGATGTTGTGTCTTTAGGAGCAATTAATGATTCGTCAATACAAAACAATGGGTTTCTCAATAACCAGGTATGGATATTCTCCAAGCTCCATTCTGGAATTTTGTTTCCAACCATTATCACGTGCTTACATACAAGCCTCTCCTTCTTAAAACTGGCACAAGTGCAGCTGCTACTCATCGTGGTTTTATCGAATTTCACTTCATACAACTCATCCCTTGATGTAGAAAACACTTGAAACTTATTTTCAGAAATAACTGAAATTTTTGCATCACATTGACTGGCCAGATCTATTTTTGTGATAACGTGGTCAATAAACCATTTGGGCCTACCATGGAGGTAAGATGGAATTGATTGGTCGTACTTTTTAGATAATGATGACAGCTTCAAGTTTTCTCTCACATACGCCAAATATCTTTCTGGTAAAAACTCCTTCAATATAACACTTATCATCTCAGAAAGTGTACATGATCTGAGCCCTGTCAAGTAGTTATACTTTAATTCCTTATTTAGTCGTTCAACACCGTTGTTAGTGTTGACGTACATATCATCAGGCTTGTAAGCTATTGCCCATCTTTCAACCTCTTTCATCCAAGTATTTTCAAAATAGTCCTTCAGAGGAGTGGTTTCATAGGGAAGCCAAGACTTCAACGCATTGATTGCTTCTTCCATGGCTTGAATTGTTGGTGCATTTGCAATTCTTCTGAGGTAAATCAAGGCTTCGTTTCTTGGAATATCTGAATTATTAGACCTTGAAAACCACCTGTTCCAAGCCTGTTCGCGATGAAAGCTGCATATATAGACTTTAATGTTAGGAAACACACTTTGGAGGGCATTTATTTCCTCATAAGCAAAATCCACCATGGCATAATTGGGCTTAACGTCTGGGCTCCAGTTTCTAACTATAGTCAATGCTTCAGTAATGGCACTAGCTGATTCATATTGTGTTATTAGGACAGCAACAACCTGATAATTCACATTGGTTTCCACTACTAAGAAATAAAGTGGAACTGCATACTTGCATGTTTTGTAAGTAGCATCAAGCATCACCGTATTACCACCATACTTTCTATAAAGTGCTTGCATTTCTTTAGTTTGAACTACGAACAATAAATCACTGGTGCAATCCTGAGTCTCTTCATCTTCAGAGCACAAATTCTCCCCTGCCTGAACTGAATAAGCGCTAGGCCTAAAAAATACATTATATTTGGCAGTGTCTAAATTTTTGCTTAACATCTCAGTCTCTTCCTGGTCGATGATACTTTTTCTTAACTTTATTTTTTCTGACGAAACAATTTTCCTGACAGCTTTTATGTCTGGGAAAAATCTTCTCCTCAATCTATCACTTTGATTCAGCTCTCTTTCTACGAATTCGTTTATAAGCTTTGAAATGACATACGAGTCTCTTTCTCCCTTATGAATGAGTTTAACAATCTGCTCTCTTACTCTTACATCAATCGGCTCATTAACTGCTGCACTGTCTCCCATTAAATGAAATTTGTGGTCAGAAGAAGTTGGAAACCTAAATATATAGCTCTCTTCGCCAAAGTCTTCATTGGAAATTTTCTCTTTAATCAGCTGGGATATCTTCTTTTTTGCATACTCGCCAGCTGACTCCAATACCTGAAAATATATTTCACAAACTTAAAAACGGATACCGGTAAAAAGTTTCTTTAACATTGAAAAAAATAGTATGGAATGGGATGCATTTGTTAACCTGAAGAACAGTCTTTACTTAGTGGAAGACTTGGTGGGAATTGGGGATGAGGACATGGGGGCGGAACTGAGTAGTCTAGATTTACTTTATTTTCAGGTTTTGATTATCGAAAAATAAAATACCCCCGCCGCAGCAAACCTGCAGACTAAGCGAATTTCCATTTGACTGATTGGATTTACACTGAAATGTCTACTTAAAAATATAAAATTTATTCCCGATTTAAATAGAATAAGTTTAACAAGTACTTAGGTTTGCTGCATCAGGGAGGGTAAAACTGTTTTTTTTTGTAAAATGTTAATAGTTAGTAAGAAATAAAAACATTTTCCAAATTTGATCAAAATATGTTCGTAAACAAGCAAACTACAACAGTTTACTCTTTCTCCATAAGAATAACATTGGAATTTTAAATTTACAATCTTATGGAATTTTCTCCGTAACCATTAGGCGCATAATAACGCTTCAATATACTAAATTATTTGTTTTTTGAAGCTCTACAAAATGGTTTGGAAATTAATTGCTAAATTTTATGTTTTTTGGGTCAAAATTGGGAAAAACCTATTTTTACCCCATAAAACCCCCCGTAAACACCCGTTCCCATGGTCCGATCATGCTGGATCGCGAACTCGTTCGAATAGACGTAGGTTTACACGTTTGTACCAAATTTCATCAAAATCGGATCATTTTTGCTCGAGTTATCGTGCTGACGGACACATATATATATATATAAATATATATATATGAATTTGAACGGATGGTGTTTTTGGCCTCTAGGGACCTCAAAACGAAAAAAAAAAACGGTCCCGCGTCCAGGTCTTACCATGAGTACTACGGTAATAGCTTATTCCCTATATGGGAAATTCGCTAAAACAATACCCCCGTCGCAGCATATCTACAGGCTAAGCGAATTTCCCCGTTCCCTATAGTCCGATCAAGCTGGTTTGCAAACTTGTTTGAATAAAAATGTAAGTTTACACCAAATTTCATCAAAATCGAATCATTTTAGCTCGAGTTATCGTGCTAAAGGACACATATTATATATATATATATATATATATACAAATTTGAACAGATGGCGTTTTTGGCCTCTAGGGACCTCAAAACGAATAAGTAAATCAGTCCCAGGTACAGGTCTTACCATGATACTACGGTAATAGCTTATTCCCTCTATGGGAAATTCGCTAAAACAAGGGGAAAGTTAGGTTGACAGATATAAGTTATTCGTCTGCCGCTCACAAGAATACTCAAGATAATTCGGTGAGCGCTTTTTCATATACAACAGAAGGAGATCAATTAGCCTAATTTCAAAATTAAGTACAAATTGAGATATTTAAAATCATACCTTGTATTCCTGGAACTTAATAATTCTGGACACAGAAATTTTGGCGGGACAATCCAATTTCTTCGTAAGTTGTGTCTTGTTGTACCTTTTGGTAAAGGCATGATCACCACAAGCCTAAAAAAATAATAGCCCATTACAATCCAAAACTGTACCGGTACTCCATGATTAACTAAAAAAAAAAACACAGACCAAGGGAAAATTGTGTATCACTCACTAACTCACTATCAGAAAGGTTTAATTTAGTACTACGTACTTTGAATATCGTTAAATATATAGGCCTACTGGTTACACCAATTGTACTGTTTAAATAAATAATGTGGTGTAGGCTAATAAGTAGGCCTACACCATAAATTGCTTACTGGATGTCACAAAGCTTCTGTTAATTCCCTTTGTTATTATTAACACGTTCGCGGCGGCATGTAATGCCATCCTGGTGGGTAAGATCGCTCCCAAGCTGCAATGCAGTACGAAATGATTTTATTTTTAAGCCAGGATTAGAGCTAGAAACTTGAAATCTCGCACAGCACTGCTCAATAGTATACTGTATTTTGTTGTGGTGTAGGTTGGTAGTAAATTTCCCCGTTATTAAAATCCCCGTTTGGCAATTTTAAAATCTACTTTTTGTCCCGTCTTTTCCCCTTCATTTGGCAATACAATTCCAATGGGACCGGCTACGTTTCAAGCAGAGCTGCTATCTGTGGGTGTTTAGCGAACTACGTCGACACTCATTGTAAAGCAGGACATCCTCGCACGTTATTTGCTATTCGTCAGACCAAAATTGGAAAGCCAATCATACGCGGCAATCGGGTTTGTTCGGCGCTGAGGGCTGCGCCGCACTGGCGATACGCCCGCCATTTGATGTGCCGCCGCGAACAGGTTAATTAGGTTAACCTTATTTTAAGACATTTGCCATCAAAAGGATTAATCAAAGGAAATGATAGCCCGGTATCCATTATAAAAAAAATACCCACGCTGCAGCAAACCTACAGAATAAGCGAATTTCAACTTGTCTGATTTATATTTTTACTTAAATATTTCCATAAATAAAACATATTTTTTCCCAATTTAAATAGGTAACGTAACATAAGATGTAACAAGTTCTTAGGTTTGCTGCTACAGGGAAGGTAAAGTGTTTTTTGACCAGGCGTATAAGATGAAATAAATTTGCTAAATTTTATTAACATATATCCATAAACAAGTAAGCTACAACAGTTTTCATTTTCATGTTAATTTTAAAGTTAAACTTTTTTTGTATTTTCTCCGTAACCGTTAGGCATACAACAGCGCTTAATTATACTAAATTATTTCTTCTTTTAAGCTCTAAAAAATGGTTTGAAAAGAAATTGCAAACATTTTTGTTATTTTGGGTAAAAAATGGAGAAACCCAATTTTTACCCCATAAAACCCCGTTCCCATGGTTACTTGATGTTGGTTTGCAAACTCGTTCGAACAAATGTAGATTTACAAGTTTATACCAAATTTCATCAAAACCGGATCATTTTTGCTAGAGTTATCATGTTAACGGACACATTTATATATAAATATATATATATAGGAATCTAAACGGATGGTGCTTTTGCCTCTGAGGACCTCAAAACAAAAAATAAATCGGTCCCATGTACAGGTCTTACCATGAGATTTACTTTAATAGCTTATCCCCTTTATGGGAAATTCGCTAATAACGATCACACTAAAACTGTTTTGTATGTACAGTAAGTTAAGAGATACTTAACCAACCATGTGCAATCTTTTACTAGACGTCTAAAAATGATCTAATAGCATATTGAAGTATAACATATGTAGGCGTAAGTAAGTACTTACTTTGACATCTCTTTCATTTGCATATTTCCTTTTCTGGTATAAGTTATTGTCTCGTCCATGATGGCAACCATAAACTCTAGTTCCAATTATAACGAAAGGTATACCATTTTCCCAACGTATTCTTGAATTTGTAGAACGCTCAGCTAGAACAAGTTGAAAACATTGATGGTTGAAAGTATTATCTAACACAGTTATACCTACATGCTACATTGATTAGACAACAGACAAAATTCTTTATTCATCCATCTATTGTACAGGGATGGTAATGTCATAAGTTAACAAACTAAAGCCAATTAACTTATTAGGCCTTCATATGACCTTCATCTGAAATAGTAGGCCTACATTACTAGTCCTGAAAAAAAATGTTTACCGGACGAGTGTGGTCGTACCCGTGCGGGACAAAGTCGAGTATGGGATTACCATACGAGTCTGGTATACACATTTTGGACGAGTTACGTACGATAGTTTACGCCATATTCTGTAACTTACAGTTGAACCTCTATAAGACAAATTTCAAGGGGTACAGGACAAATTTGTACTATAGAGGTATTCTTAATAAAGAGGGTCGTTTTATCGAGGTTTAATGCTGCTGTTATTCTTCTTATAGGTTTCTCCTCGCTCCAAGGTTTCTCCAAACAATGACTGGGGAAGGAGGAGGGATGGGTGGGGGTTTCATGTTGAGTCAAGCTGTTGTTTGTTTTGAAAACTACGTACTATGGAGGTTAAGATTAAGATAAATTCGTCTTATGGAGGTCTTGTTCGTCTTGTAGAGGATTGTGCTAAGAACAATCGTTGTATATTTAGGTACAAGTTGTTATATTTAGGTCAATCAGTCCTAGCCCATGTCACAAACAAATTCGTCTTATGGAGGTTTTTAACTTAATTACTACGTTGTATAGAGGTGTTTTTAGCATTGACCTATATGAAAGTGTCAAGGGGATTAAAAAAATTCATCTTATCGAGGAATTTGTTTTATCGAGGTTCGTACAAACAAGGTTCAACTGTACTACTAAACCTGTGCAAATCCATAATACCACCAACTAAATATAACTAGGCTTAGTATTATGTTTTTGTTTATAAACACTCATTGTCACCAAACCAAATAGCCTACAGTAGGCCTACAATCAGCTGATTGGTGTCCGGTAAAACTCATTAGAGTAGCCCTACAGTAGTACGTAGGCTAATAAAACCCCATTTGATTTAGCTGGTGGCAAACAGCTGTTTTCTGGACTAAATCCTTGTGTGGGAAGTTCGTCAAAATAGTGTAGTGTGGCGTAAAGTAATTAAGCCTAGGAATCAAGAATCAATGAAAAAGTATTCTCATGTCATTTTGTCTAGCCTAAATCTGTTTAAAGGTTAAGAACCAATAAAATTTATTGAGGAATTGAATTTAAATTTGTTACAAGCTAGGCTATATTACAAGTAAATCAAACTTTAATTAACACTTAAGTTAGGCCTACGCTACTTTGTATAGGCCTAACTTGTATTGTAAGAGCTTGCTCCTGCCCGTTTTTGTCAACAAACCTTACCTATAAAAAAAACCATCTCTTCCTAACAATTAGGATCAAGTCAAAAATAATTTCCCTCAGGCACTCACCTACCGAAAACGGCAAATTTGACTTATTGCCTGCTGAAAATCACAATCAAAAAACACAAGACAGTAATACCACTAATGTACAATGCGCCACGACAGTTAAGATCAGTTAGGCTATGATAGTTAGGCTTTGAGCCTACTTTAAAATAGGCTACTCGAATGTACCATAACTGCAAATTACACAGGGCCTAGCTTAAGATAGCCTAACATATTTATAGTAGACTCCCTCTTATTCGGACACCTTTCAATCAGGGACTAAGTTACACTTGGTAAAAGTGACATCTCTTTACCCGGACAATTTTTATCAGCACATTGGTTTAAACAGACTAGATCGGCAGGAAGTGGGTGGTACTGAAAGGACTGTTCTCATGGGAAAGATATGAGACCAGTTATTAAACACAACCTACTACCTACCTACCTAAGATAAATACAATGCACTCCGAAATTTAAATCAAACACTGTAATTTATATACTATGCATTTAAACAGGTCCGTTTTAACAAATTTTTGGGGACATCGGTTTAACCGGAATACTGTTATCTAGACTGACCTCGGTCCCGATGAGTCTGCGTATAACTTAAGAGGGAGTCTGCTACAGCTAAAGTTACCAAACCACAGGCTAAAAATTTAGTTAAGTTACTTTCTCATCAAAGTTATTTCCACACCAACTCGGGCAGTAGGCCTAAGTACTCATCTCATAAGTTGCACTCATAAGAAGAAACTGGACAATTCCCGGTCTGTGACTGCAGTTAAGACCACAGGTTAGCATAAGCTAATTTAACCACCACGGCGCACTGTACATTAGCAGGCTCGCACGGTCTTTGATTGTGATTTTGGCAGGAAATTCCCTTGCAATTTCCCATTTGCGCCAAAAGTGGAAGAGGTAGGCTAACTTAAAAGTTGCTCAGAATAAGTTAGGCCTTTTTAGAGGCTGTTTAGAGTAAACTTAGGACTGCACGATTTTTCGAAAGAACTAAGTTAGCTTATTAACATTAGCCTACCTACTTACTGAGTTAACATGGGTTTGTCTTTGTCCCTTTCATTGATATCATGGAAAAATAACTTGTCTTTTCTTACCTTTATCTGCAGAAAATGTCCGTGGAGATTTGATTTGAATGTATTTACAAGAAATTTCAACTTCGTGTTCTCTTAACTGTTCTTCGAACTCATCAAAATCTTTGGTAAAAATCATTATAGGTAGGCCTAAATTGATTAAAACGTAAAAATAGTGTAACGATAATAGTAAACATAAAATATTAAACGAGGGAGGGGTGCGGAGGATCAGACCAAGCAAATAGTAGGACTCGCAGCAAAGCACATCATTTGCCTTTTCACCAAACAGAACATTGCTAAATTATTAAGTTTGCCTAAGTAGAACAAGCCAAAAAGTCAACCAACACTAAATGGAGACTGCCAAGTGCCAACAACATGCACTGCACGTGGATGGAATAGGATTAGGATTGGAGGAGGGGGGATGGTTCGAAGTCCGAACAAAGTAAATTCAACATTACAAGTCGAAAGTTAAGTCGCACCTCGCTCTCGCATCGCGATTCGATAACTCCCACTGGATCAGTGACGTCATATCGATGACGTAGCTCCTTCTGTTGGATGTGAAAAAGCGCTCACCTCAATGCTATGGCCCACTGCGGTTGCCCACTTGTGGTGGGGGGAGCGGCGCGGCGGCGGCGGACCGTTTTCGTTTACCAGCCGAGCGCGATCCAGTTAGGTTATATACATCGATGCAACTGACGGCGCATTTCTGAGTTTAAGAACCAGTTCAACTTTAAATACCCAAACCCCCCTCCCCCCCGCAGCAAATCTGCAGATTAAGCGAATTGCAATCACTGAGCTATATATCTCAATGATTGCAATTTGTTGCATTTATTTTTTACTAAAACATTTTCATAAACAAAGACATGTTTCGTATTACGTTATATCAACCCCCGCTGCAGCAAACCTGCAGACTAAGCGAATTTCGATGTGCTGATAGGGGTTACTCTAAAATATCTCCTTAAAAACATCACATTTATTCCTCATTTAAATAGCATTGGTTTAGTGAGTACTTAGGTTTGCTGCAACAGGGAGGGTATAAATATGTTTTTGTAACATTTTGATAGTTTAGTATGAAGTGAATATATTTTCCAAATTTGATCAAAATATGGAAAATATGTTTATAAACAAGCAAAATATTCTCCATAAAAATAATTTTTTTCATCTTCTCCGTAACTTTTAAGTCCATAATAAAGCTGCTTCAATATACTAAATTATTTGTTTATTAAGATCTACAAAATGGATTGAAAAGAAATTGCAACATTTTACGTTTTTAGGGTCAAAAGTGGAAAAATCTATTTTTACCCCATAAAACCCCCGATAAACCCCTGTTCCCATAGTCTGATCATACTGGTTCGCGAACTCGTCAGAATAAATGTAGGTTTACACGTTTATACCAAATTTCATCAAAATCGGATCCGGGATCCGGGTAGTTGAGTCGTGTCCGTCGTGCGTGTTATGACCGGCCGCTCATCTTTCTGTAATTTAATGTATTTGTGCGTGTTAAATGTTTTATTTGTGTATTTTGACGACGACATCATGTTCCAATATTTTTATGTTAGACGATAAAGCTTGAAATGAAACGCCAGTTTCGAAACTAGTCACTTTGTAAGACTATTCAAGGATTGACGACGTAAGGTACGTAAACATATTTTATACTGTACTAATTATTTCTCTAGTGTAAGCCTGAGCACAGAAAACGTACTACTGGTTATAGTAGTACGTTTTCTGTGGCCTGAGGTTGAAATCTGAGGTTAAAATATAGTCTAAACTAAGATTATAATATAGATATGGGGAATACGGGCCTTTTCGGATAAGTACAAAAACTGATTAGGTAGTTCATAATCAACGTTCAGTTGAATTTATAAATGCCTCGACCTCTTTATCCTCTTTGTACAAACTTACTTCTTCTTCCTCAAGAAGGAAAAACGACCCTCGTCCTCGTCCACGTCCAGCTTGCAGCTTGTCCGTCAATCAATCATAATATCATTGATGTGTTTCATGTTTATTCGTTTCGTTTAATGTGTTGTTTTGTTTGTCAATAAGCCAAATTTTAGCAAAAGCTTAGCAAATTATCTTTCCTTTACACAGTAGGTTTAATTGCAACTGAGACAAGTTTACAAGAAGAATTGCATTAATAAAATTCAAACGACCATAGTTTATTCAGTTTTTGTGACAGCAGAGAAATTTTCGCACCATTGTTTTCAGGTAAATTCTAGTTTTAATGATAAATTAAATAAATTACTATGGTTCCCTTGGTCACCTTTATCGAATTTCATTTGTCTTGGGTACACTTTCATATCTGTTGGCACAAACAACCGAATGAGTAATATTGATTATTCGATTATTTAAATCGATATATCGTTTGGTTAGTTAGGTTAGGTTAATCTTACCTTACCGAACGATGTATCGAATAATCTATACATCGATCGATATTACTCATTCTCTTGTTTGTGCCAACAGATATGGAAGTTTACCTTATTACCGTATCTTCATCTTTTACCCAAAAGGGATTGATGGCGTCAATACTTTCAAAAATCAAAAATATACATTTAGACAAACTGACATAAATACAAAACATATATTTACAACATTGGCAATGTGGATAGGCGGATCAGTCTGAAAATTCTGGGAAAATGTCTTCAAAAAATTCTTTTAGGGAATAGTAGGCTCTTGACTTGAGTAGAGGGACCAGCTTCTTTAAGAAAAGCTTACGCTCAAGCTGTTTGATAGAGTTGGGCAGCTTGTTATAGATTTGTATTGCTCCCGTGTTGTAACTCTTCTGGGATCTTGTCAGCCTAACCCTGGGCACATCAAGCAACCCGCGCTGCCTAGTATGGTGGTCATGAACCGCTGAACGAAGTTGAAAGTTGGCGTAGTTGTCATGGATCATCAGTGAACATACGAGGATGTAATGGCTATAAACCGTGAATATCCCCAGCCTTGCAAAGATGGGTTTGCAATGGGCAAGGCGGTCACTAAATGTAATATGTCGTACAGCACGTTTCTGGATCACTAATATGTCCTCAACATCAACGGCATGACCCCAAAGTAGTAGGCCATAGCTCACATGACAGTGGAACATGGCATGGTAGATGTTAAGCAGGTACTGTTCAGTAATAAAATTTCGCAGCTTGAGCAGAAGACAGCACACCCTAGAAAGTTTGCTGCAAACGTTGCCAATGTGATTGTTCCACGCCAATTTCCTGTCCAGATGGAATCCAAGTAGCTTAACTGGTTCATTAGGTGGGGCATTTCTTGCCAAACTGCAGACAAGTGTCTGGGTTTTTTCCTGGTTGAGCTGAAACCCATTTCCTTCGAACCAGCGGGATGCTACGGAGAGATGTTTGTTGGCATCTGCAGTGGACAGCTCAACTTGGGGACCCCGTGACACCAGGGTTGTGTCGTCAGCAAAAAGCACCACCCCTCCATCTCTATCAAGGTCATTAATCATTACCAGGAACAACAACGGACCTACGATCGATCCCTGAGGGACACCGTACCTGACACTCTTGGGCTTGGATGTTGCGCCCTCCACAGAGACAACCTGATGCCTTCCAGCCAGATAGGAGTCAATCGTCTTTAGTGCCACACTGTCCACTCCCAAACTTCTCAATTTCCCATGCAGAAGATTGTGGTTAACACAATCGAAGGCCCGACTCAAGTCACACATTGTGAGAGTCACCGTGTCACCAGCCTCGAATGCTTCACCAACCAAGTCAGTCAATTTCTTAATCGCACCAGTGGTGGACCTCCCTTTTCTAAAACCATACTGCCCATCTGATATTAAGCTGTTCATTTCCAAATACTGTGTCAGTTGGGCTGATATTATGGCTTCAATAACTTTCCCCAGAACAGGCACTATGGAGACAGGCCTGTAACTGGCAAGAGATTCTCGATCGCCCTTTTTGTAGACTGGCACAGTCCTTGAGGTCTTAAGGCATTGGGGGAAAATACCATTTTCCAAGGAATCATTAATAACAGTGGCCAGAGGGACTGATATGACATCAATAATGTTCTTTAGCCAAGATGCAGACATTCCATAAAAATCTGGGCTGTTAGAGTTCTTAAATTTTGCCACAATGCGCAAAATCTCTGCTGAAGAGGTAGGTTGCCAATGATGCAGGGTAGAAGTATGCAAGTCACTTCCGGCCTCCTGCTGGATGTTTCTAACAGGCCCTAGGCTAGTCACAATGTTGTTCACAGACTCAATAAAAAAATCGTTAAAATCATCAGGGCTGGAAGGTAGCTTGTAGGGCACATGACAGCTGGTAGTTGACCTCACCACATCCCATGCAGCCTTGCATTGGTTTTTCGCTGATTTAATCATATTCACATTAGCTTCTTTTTTAGCATCGATAATGCGTGTTTTATAGGCCCGCTTCATGTTAAGGTAACATTTTCTGTCACTGTCAGATTTGGACAACATATACCTATCTTTCAAGGCAAGCATGGAACACTTAAACTTGGCTAGCTCTGGCGTAAACCAATCGGAATTTGCACTTATCCTACCCTGACTTGGTTTTTTGGGTTTTGACATTGGCTTAGCTGACCTCACAACAGAAGGGAAAAACACATCAAAAACAGACCTTAGCTTTAAGGCTAAACATCCCTGAAAAAGTTGTGTTTCTGGCCCGATAGATAGCAGCACCTCTGCGGCAAATTTGCACCACTTATAATTTCCTTATTTATTATCAGATTTTTGTTTTGTAAACGGTTTTGTAAATGATATGAATAAGACATTCACGCTATTTTGCTTATGTTTTTTAAAATTTATTTACAAAAAAGTTTTATAAAGAATTTTTTTTGCTATAACTATTTTTTTTTAATCGCAGGTAGTCATTTTGTAAAGAGAAATTTTAAAAGAATTTTGCCGTTTTCAGATATTAATTCGGCCAAATGGTTGTATCGGAATCCTTTTTTAAAGAAATTATCATTATTTCTCTCGCGCTCCGGTCCCCTCCCCCCTCCCCCTCACATAGCGCAGCTCCAGTGCCAGCCGCTCTGCCCGGCCCTGCAACGCGACTGTAGCTTCGTCATCTCACACACACCTCACATTCATACTCTGACCGGACACATGGACTCTTGATTTTAACAGATACTAGTTTATGATTTAAAAACAAGTATTTTCTGTAAGTCGGA